CACTCCAGCTACATGACGCGCAGCTGGAAACACTTCCCGCAAGACGAGCTGCCCGAGATTCATAGAATTTACAGAAAATGTTACATTTTTGTGATTTATATCGTTATCGGGACGATAGAATTCTTATATCGGGATATGAGATTTTGGTTATATCGCACAACACTAGAAGAAAGACCTCTTGTTTTATGACAAATTTCATCTTTAAAATTTTATTGAATTACAGCTTCAGTTCACTTGGATAACACGTCAGAGTTTTTTATTAAAAAGAGTAGGGAGCAGTTTTAATCAAAGAGCGCCCTGGCTAAACACCAGTGAGTATCAAAATCTATTTAATGTGGTCGCTTAAGAAATTTATTGGCTTACTGACAGATGGTGAATACAATGAATGAGCAGCTAAAGAGGCCAATATTTCTCTTTTGGGTTAACATTTGCTGGGTGGCCACTACCAAGAGTATCAGTGAAGAATTGCTTATTGTCTATTACTCTGTAAAGTAGCTTAAAAATATTGAAGGATTTTTATTTTAGAAGACAGGATCCAGGTACACAGATATTACTATTATTATTATACTATTATTACTATATTGCAGATATTACTACTGTTTATAACTCCCTCAACCTCTCACTACAGACATACAAAATAGATAATGCATACCTTTGAAACAGCTTGTTCTCCATGACGGTGATGTTTTGTGTAAATCCCCCCTTGGAGTGACTGATCCTGGCATCACAACTGAGCTTCTTTGGCTTGTAGCAGAACCACTGCTGACCTGTATGCAGCTCAGTGTAGTTGCACACAGGCTGCCGGAATGGACGCAAACATACATTACAGGTGGTAGTTTCACTGACAATCCCTGAGCGGAACTGGCTTTTGAAAAAAACTCTATCCGGCTGTTCTCTGGTGAGTCTGCCCAGCACTGTGATTGCCTCACTGGGGTGAACCAGTATTACCTGGTAGGAAAGAGAATCAGTTTGTCAGTTCAGATAAATTTTTATCAAGGTGGACATACAATTTTTCTGGTTCATTTGAGGTAGTAGCAGTAAAGACCAACAAAGTCTACTTTGAGATTTTGAGGATGAAATGGTGGAGTGAATCACATATAATTGATGAACATTCAGTAAAAAGGATAATAGTGGGTTTGACTTGTCACCTGCCAACCAAGACAATGACATAGCCAGATAGAAACTGTCATGGTTGCGGCTGTGTGCAGGCAGGATGAGGACCCAAACGCAAGCTCATGGAGGCAGGATTGAACTCAAAACACAGCTTTATTGCTGGACAGAAAAACCATACAAACTAAACTGGAAACTATAAAATATTGCACGGAGAAACACACAGCCATGAATGAGGAAGAACGCGACACCGAACTGAGGGAGACGCATACATAAATACACAGAGGGTTAACGAGGGAAGTGGGAACACACGGGGAACACAGGTGACACTGATAATCATAACAAGACACGGCAGGAGTAAATGCACACTGACGGGAGACTGCCAAAGTAAAACAGGAAGTACACAGAGGTTCAGACAGGAGGAGAGAGAGCACGGGGAGAACACA